ATCAAAGTGTCTCCGTTAAGTTGAGCACAAGCAATATTGTACGGCCCTTTGACTAAAGCGGGATCCAACCTAGAGAGTAATAGCGACGAATTATAGCATGTCGCAGTTTGAAAGCTTATCAAAAAATGATGCCTTTAAAAATGGTGTTCTTTGGAAAGAATTTCTTTTTTCGACATGACCGGGTATTTTGAAGTCAATGATTAAGACAATTAACGTTTTGGAAAGTAACATTTTACCACCAGTTTTTAGCTTTCTGTTATCTTTAACAGAAAGACTGTTGATTGCATGGTTGAGAATAAACATTAAAAATTCTTAATACACAAAGACGGTTTCCTTCGGAGAAGAATACGAACGGTCAAAGATGATAACTAGTGGTAAATGGAATAGTCGGTTGAATGCTGTTCTTCTATTCTACTCAAACTGCTTCAAACGAGTCAAACGAGTCGAATTCTTAGCGAAATCTATGAAAATAAACCATTTAAATTTGTTACTAATAACGGAAAAGGCTTTTCAATGGACGTGGTTAGTAGAACCTCGTTTATGATCCTCCTTCACCATTCATTGAATTATTCTGTGTAAATCAATCCATATTTTAGTTTATTTGTTATTAAAAGGTAAAAGAAGTTGAACTTGCTTTGATGCGCGTACTTTTTTTCCGCATATAATGTTGACGCGGGTGTGTGGACATTCTTTCCAGGATAAAAAACTGTGAAAAGAAATCTACTGATAAAAAGAAAAACTAACGATTTCCACACCTAATCACCACCGATGTTTACCTTTCTGTAAGCTTGAAGTAAATTTAAATGAAAGCTTTATACACCAAGAAGGGCGGCTTCGGGAAAGAATAAGGCCCGAAGATGATACTAGGTGGTAGAAAAGAATAGTGACTGTCTTTTGAACGTTGTGCTTCCTTTGACAACAACGATTTAAACGTTCGAGCTGCTTACAAAGCTATCTTCTCGATTTTCCTAAACAACATATTTCGACGAGAATTGACCTTATTCAGGCATTCAAATGTAGCAATTTTTTAGGCTAAACTGCGAAAGATCAATTTCCTTTAAAACTCCTTTCTAATTAATGGGAAAGGCTTTTCGTTGCGCGCGGTACGTAGAGTCACCTTTTTTTACCCTATTTTACCATTTATCAAATTATTCTCAAGTTTTTACCATTCATTGTATATTCTTTAGAACTTTGGTTTTGAGCTTATTTGTTGCTATAACGGAAGAGATATCTTGGACATGCGTGACCTTGGCATCAGCTGAAAACCGTGGTAAACGGGTCCACACTCTTTTCAACATCAATAGCACAGACTAGCACAGCATAAAGGGAAATCAAAGTGTGTCCGTTAAGTTAAGGACAGCAATATTGTACGCCGCTTTGACTAAAGGGGGATCCAACCTAGAGAGTACTAGCGACGAATTATAGCATGTCGCAGTTTGAAAGTATCAAAAATGATGCCTTTGAATATAGTGTTCTCTGGAAAAATTTCTTTTTTTCGACATGACCGAGTATTTTGAAGTCAATGATTAAGAAAATTAATAGTTTGGAAAGTAACCTATTCACCACCAGTTTTTAGTTTTCTGTTATCTTTAACAGAAAGACTGTTGATTGCATGGTTGATGAGAATGAACCAAAATTCTTGATACACAAAGACGGTTTCCTTCAGAGAAGAATACGAACGGTCAAAGATGATAACTAGTGGTAAAATAGAACATTCGGGTAAATGCTGTTTTTCTATTCTACTCAAACCGTTTCAACTAGTCAAACATCTGAACTACTCCATTTTCTGAAAAATAGTGTTGGGAGAAGCATTTCTCTCTTGTATACGTTTGGTGAATTCTTAGCGAAATCTTTGAAAATAACCCATTGAAATTTGTTACTAATAACGGAAAAGGCTTCTTAATGGACGTGGTTAGTAGAGCCTCGTTTATGATCCTCCTTCACCTTTCATTGAATTATTCTGTGTGAATCAATCCATATCTTAGTTTATTTGTTATTAGAAGGTAAAAGAAGTTGAACTTGCTTTGATGCGTGTACTTTTTATCCGCATATATAACGGTGACGTGGGTGTGTGGACATTCTTTCCAAGACTGGAAACTGTGAAAAGAAATCTACTGATAAAAAGAAAAACTAACGATTTTGACACCTAATCACCACCGATGTTTACCTTTCTGTAAGCTTGAAGTAAATTTAAATGAAAACTTTATACACCAAGAAGGGTGGCTTCGGGAAAGAATGAGGCCCGAAGATGATACTCGGTGTTAGAAAAGAATAGTGACTGTCTGTTGAACGTTGTGCTTCGTTTGACAACAACGATTTAAACGTTCGAGCTGCTTACAAAGCTACTTCTCGATTTTCATAAAAATAAAAAAAAAATTCGACGAGAATTGACCTTATTTACATTCAAATGTAGCAATTTTTTAGGCTAAACTGTGAAAGATCTATTTCCTTTAAAACTCATTTTTTATTAAGGGGAAAGGCTTTTCGTGACGCGGTACGTAGAGTCACATTTTTCACCCTCTTTTACCATTTATCATACTATTCTCAGGTTAACATTCATTGTATTATTCTTTAGAACTTTATTTTTTAGCTCGTATTTGTTTGTATAACTTAACAGTTATCTTTTACATGCTTGACCTAGGTATCCGCTTAAAGCCGTGGTAAACGGGTCCACACTCTGTCTAACATCATTAGCACAGCATAAAGTTACAGTATTAAAGTGTTTCCGTTAGGTTGAGGACAAGCAACATTGTACGCCGCTTTGACTAAAGCGGGATCCACCCTAGAGAGTACTAGCGACGAATTATAGCATGTCGCAGTTTGAAAGTATCAAAAAACCTCATCCATAATACCGACTCTACGGACAACGGACACGAAATCTCGGCCCCTGAGAGTAATTTCATATAAACTTAACCTCTTTATTACGGATACTACTGTGATCAGGTGCCGATCCCGAATCCCGATCAGGTGAATCTGCACAGGGTGAATCTCGTTTTTGACCCTCTTTTACCATTCTTTGTATTATTCTTTAAAACAATGTTTGTCAGCTTTTTTAACTTAAGAATCATCTTGTACATGTGTGACCTTTGTACCCACTTAAAATCGTACCGTAAAAAAATAAGGGGTCGGCAATCTTTCCAACATCACTAAAAGGAAATTAAATTGTATTTTGTCAATTTGATTACAAGCAATATTGTACGCCGATTCGACTTAAGCAGGACCCATTTTCTTTTTGAAGAATTATAGCATGTCTCATTTTGTTAGATTAAAAGTTCATGTCTTTAAAAAAAGTGTTTTTTTGAAAGAAAACCTATTTTTTGACATGATAGAGTAGGTTTAAGTCAATAATTAAGCACAACTAACGTTTTGGAAACCTGTTCACCACCGGAGTTTAACTTTCTAAAGAGCTTTAACAGAACTGACTATCGATTGCATCGGTGATAACAAAATTCAAAACACCCTTCATAGAAGAGGGGTGGCTTCAGAGAAGAGTAAGTCCGGCCGAAGATGATAACTGGTAGTAAAAAAGATTATAATAAGATTCCAACACCCTTTTATTTTTCATTTTTTGATTAACTTTTACAAATATTTTCGTGAAACTTTTTAACACATAAAACGAGAAAGTAAGACGTCCTTTTTTGGCTTCATAAGCCATTGAAAAGTTGTTTTGGTCAGTTTGCCAACGGCAAGAAAATCTACATCGACTCAAGTTTGCACCCAAAATCAGATATTCATTATTTGAAAAGGTTCTTTTGAAGGAGAGACTGCATCCATGACATCTACTAAGTTACTATGGGCATTTCACTTCATTCTGCTGCCTAAGTAGGTGACAGCGCTGTTTTATTTTTATTCCGTCATTGAGATCCGAGCCAACAGAGGTTAATAAGGCGGCGCAGTGAGTAGAAGGAGTCTTTATAACATCAGTGGCTTTCTTACGAGTGACTGCAAATAAAACCGTACAGAGATGGCGAAGACGGCTTAGGGCACGTTTTGGTTACCTTTTTCTTTGGCCGAAAGTCGAGACAGCTGACTAAAACTGAGGAAAAGCGTAACAATTAAATTAGCCCAGGTAATACTGAAAGCATCAACAGCTGTGGCACCAGGTTCTCGATGCCATGAAACTAAACTATCAGACTTGGCATTAAGCCTTGATGCAATAAAAAGTAGATTACATGAACGAAGGTCAAGCCTGCCTTAGGTCATTAACTTTTGAGACCACTCCAAGTAAGATGGATCAAGTAAGGTCTACGGCCAATGGTCTCAATCATCCATAAACCCGTCACAAAACCACTTTCTGATAAACAATGGGATCAAGAGGCAATTCTAAAGGATAAATCCAGATTGGTAACGGGAGAATGATTTTACCCATTACTGCACCATGGTGGCTCGGTGACAGATTTGCACGTTAACTACACCACGGATACGAAATACTGCAAAATCACCATTCAGAAACTAAAAGAACAGCTCATATCACTAAAAATTTTAGGTTTTTTCGTGTAATGCGTGATAAAATAGTTTGTGGGTCCTAGAGAGTCGATTATATACGATTTTAAAACGTGGTATTCCACAGTGCTATGAATTGCCCTCTATTACAACGTTCCCCATGGTATTGTACCCTATTTTTGACTGCTTTCTTAAGTGAAAAAGGAGCCGCCATGTTTACAAACTAAGTGAGCCTCGTTTTGAAGCAACAATAATCTCCTTTGTGAGGAAGAGGCAGTGCACTGGTAAAAAAACTGTGGTTCAGATTCAGAGGGGTTTTAAACGTAATATTTAAAGTAGACCCGTTTTCATTGAAAATCACCATAAGTGGCCACGATCACAACTATAAATAACATAAAAGACAGTATCAAAATTATTTAAACCGCACCAAGGTAACTGTCCTTCCCCTCCCTCGCCAGAACCATTTCATTGTCGGGTACATGAAGCGCGAGTTACAAAATTGCAATTTGCTCAATTCTGACTATTAATTTTCTAGCTTGCGCTTCGTATAGTGGGAAATGTTTCGTTCGTCCTTTGTGGACGAGAATTCAAACCCGTGGTCCTCATCTTCGACGTACATTCACGTAGGATCTTTACAAAATATCCTTAAGTTTGCGGAGAAATCTGGTCATATTGACAGGGTAAGTTTTAAGGTTAACTTAAGTTTGTCAACATTATATTTAATAAACACCATATTGATGAAAATCATTGTTATTCGATGTGAGTGAATCGATTAATATTGGTAGTCGATGAATAATCGATGGCTGACTTTTCTGTGACTATTCACCACAATATTTAATGTGACAAAAAAGATTTGCCATCTCGCAATTATGACATTGATTGGCAGGAAATTATTATTGACAATAAATGATCAGCATGGTGACTTACAGTGATCACTCAGGCCTGTTTCAGACGTCATACTATTGCCGTGCTAAGCTCGCTCGACTGTAGCTCAACTGCAGTACGACACTAGCACAACTTGGTTTCAGACGTCGAATTTAATTCAGTCGAATAGAACGGCTGTTGATGAGAACAAAACACAAAAACAAAGAAACAGTTTAGCAAACTTTTAAATGTATTCTAATGTATTTATAATTTATGAATTGAGTTCGGCACGGTGGTAGCACGACGTTTGAAACCAAGTTGAGCTACTGCCCTGTAGCACGGCAAGGCTTGCCGTGCTACACGGCAGTAGCACGGCTTGGTTTCAAACATCGCACTACTGCTGTGCTTAAGTCGAATTTAATTCGATCAATTGAGTTCGGCACGGCAAATGGCCCTCATGTTCTCTGTTTTCATCCTTAAACACTAAAGTTGTGTTTGTGTGGATAATGTCAGTGGATCAAATTTGTTTGCATTGAGAAATGAATAGGACTATATAGAGAGCAAACTTCAATGCAATGAAAATTTGGAGACGTTTTAGATATTTTAAAATATAATCATGAGTATTTCAACTTCTTATAGAAGAATTCAAACTTTGAGGAAATCAAAAGAAAAGTAGAAACAACTTCTCCATCAGTGATACTAATAACACTTCTGAGAGAAATCACAAGGCTTGGGAAAGCTTTGGACAAGGTATTTCTTTAACTCCCAATCTACCAGTATTGCTTGTTTATACATTTTATGATAATTATATGCAGACAAGACAAGTCACAACTTTTATTAAGCCAACAAACTTGCATGATGTCATCTGTGCTAAAGGTTCCAAGAACAATGAACAGCAAACGGCTTGGTAAATTTAATTTTTGCAACCCCCCATGTACAAGGAAGAGTACATTATTACTCAAGGTTGCCTAGCACCAAGAGTCATAATCTGCAAGCCGTTTTCTTTCTTCGTATTTAGGACACGAAAAAAAAATTCAGTTTATCTAAGACAGAAGGAAAGCCAATAACAAAAATTTTAAAGAACAAACTTGTGTTGTCTGTCTTTTGTCTTTCATGATATTGATAAATAATTGAAAAATTCTGGAATGAATTGTGGCTGAGGTTCTGTAATAGAGTTATCATATTGGGAAGGCAGGATGGCCAAAAGGTCCTGAGTTGGAGTCTTACCAATCCCACCACTAGCTGGATTTGTTCCTCGGTCATTCGGAATTCAAATTCTCAGACATGCTTGTAAATAGCCAACTGGTTGGCTCTTGCCGGTTGGGGTTTTTAATCCTGGATTAGTTGTTTGTCACAAGCGGAGTACCTGTAAACTTTGGCTGGCAAGGTGCAAAGAAAGTCAGTTATACAGCTTGTCATTCAGGAAAGCAGTAGGTATAATGTAATAGCCCAAAAGTCATTTTAACTAGCCCGATGATGAGCAGGGTTGATAACTGTCCTTTTGTGATTAGAATCCCCTAAAAGAATTTCACCTACCAGGCGGGCAAGTTAAGAACAGAATTCACCAACCCAACAGTAAAATCCACTAGCCTCGGTCTATCGGACACGACGTTCTTTGCACGCTGGCTGGAAAGCTAAGTGCACTTTAATCCTATCTAAACAAACCTTAACCTTTTACCTTTTTACAGTGTACTTATCATCAAAGTACCACAATACCAAAAGGATACCCTGTGCACCTCTAAAACTTTAACTTACCGTAAAATTCCGAAAATAAGCCCTGGGGCTTATATTTCTCAAAGGCCCTTTTTGAGGGGCCTATATTCAGAGGGGCTTATCTAGTGAGGGAAATTTGCGTTTCAAAATCGATTGGGCTAGCCTTATACTTGCAAGGAAATTTATCGTTTTTGCTTTGGTTTACTTTGTATTTGAGGGCAATTTCCAAGTACCAGCCCCCAGGGGGCTTATATTTGGAGGGGCAATTTAACGGAGGGGTTTTTGCATTATGAGTTTGGGGGGCTTATACATGGAGGGGCTTATTTTCAGAATTTTACGGTATCCCACCACACATACCAAAGGTTACACATACCTTTACAGAGTAGCTCAAACAAGGAAATATCTCCTTTGGGGGGAAATACTCTTAAAATAAACTTTCCCAGGAGCTAAATTCTGGCTATTCATATTAATTTGACTCTCCACGAATTGAATATCAAAATAGTGGTTACAGATGAAGGTAAATTTGTCTTTATGGTCTCTCTCTCCAATCAAGGTTAACCTTGAAATTCAGTGCCATTTAAAGGAAGCTGAAACAAAAGATATCACTCATGTGGATATACTTGGTAATTTATTTATAATAATATGTACTTTAAATTAATTATGCAGCATGGATATTGTCCTTTTGTCATGAAGAGTCATGAAAGGACCTGAGGCTTGTTTTTTGGAGAAAGGGGTGGAATTGTGAAGTGCATTAACTGACTCAGTAATAGTCCATCATTACTCCCCTTGCTGGTTTCCCTCGTTTGAATCCAGTTAAATTTGAACAACATTCTGAGACTTTAAGATGCTTTAATCTACTTTTTGTTGTAAAAGGTTTAGCCGTAACACAAATGAACATGTTTCAAACTGGTTTTTAAGTTTTGTATTTGTAAAAATATGGTTAAGTTGCCATCCGTATTAAAAAAAGCTGTATATAGTATCCATTTGATTTAAATTCTGCTACATTGTGATTAAGTGCTGCTGAAAATAAATAATACTAATAATAAGGTACATAGTGTAACTTAAAACTGGATGACAAAAATTGTTAGCCTCTCACGCTGACATTTCGGGGGAGAGACATGTTTCAAAGCCCTAATGGCGTCTGCTAGGGAGACCACAATATTTTATACTTCTTAATAATTTTCCTTGGTCTCCCTTGACTATAATACTTTTAAAACAGTTAAGTTTGTTATACAGGACAGAGATGTCATCATTTAGAACAGATCTCTGGTCAACTGTCTGCCATCATTGAGAAAAAAGATGAACTCATTTCAAGACTGCAACAACCATTTGTTGGAGAATTCTTGGAGATTGATGCAGCCCATCACAAGTAAGCTAACTAACAACTTGTTACAATATATTTTATTAAGTGATTTCAGAAACGGACAATTAATGGGCATGTATATAATAATCCAGGTGGCACGCTGTCAAGTTTAGAGGGGTCACCACATTCAATATTGAATTTTCCACTGCATGTTGAGTAGCCTATTAGCAAAGCTCTCCGGGGTGCTCGCAAACTACACATTGAGCTGTAGCATTTTTTTTCACCCCGGGGAGCTACTCGAGTCATTTTTTGCTGGGTATGTGCCGCTGTTCTCTCAGAACCCCTAGCCCATTGTAGTCTATTGTGTGGCCAATTATAGACCCCACTTTAGTCACTTTTGGGTAAATGTAATATACTTAGCCACTTTCTGTTTGTGCATCTATCTGATAAAGCCTTTTAGGTCAGCAATCCTAAAATGAACTGGCCCATTTTTTTCAAATTCCTGGACACAAAAAAACTCTCCACCCCCAAATCCCAAAAATGTGTTTGTGACCTCATTCTAGTAACTCTTATGAAATTGTAACCCCATTATAGTCAATCCAGTCGTAAATTTACTACCCCATATAGAGGCACATCCCCATTAGCTAGGAAGTACCCTCCCCGGGGAAATCAAGTTGCAGTAACGATCGCTGGATGAGATAATCAATCTTTTGGCTCTTTTACGTCGTATTTGTTAAGATTTATTTTAGCAGCTCTCATTTGATTGACGTCTTCCCAAGTTGACACCATGCTTCACCCCTCAACTTTCATCTGAAAGAAATCTCAAGTTCACTTTTAAATTGTCAAACAATTATTTTTTTTTTTGAAGAAATTAGGCTCTTTCTTCGCGTCAGGAAACGTGTTGTCCCCATATGAACGCTTGCCACGCCAGGTATTGTTACATGTAATTGCGTCCCAAGGGCGCAGTTGTAATCACGTCTCTTGTCGACCCTTTCTCTGTTTTCAACGCCACTTTCGATGCCTCCACAAAATTCTTTTCGCGGGCTTTCTCTCGACCAGGATCTTATATATATTTCACCCTCGCCCTTTCACCCTGTTAGAGTATAGACTCAGTCGTAGTTCGTAATTTACTATAAACGTAATACTCCTTTTTTTCCTCGCTAGGAACACAGCAGAGATTTTGCCCATGATCTCATCAAACTTGGCTAGTTTCCCTGTGCTGCTAGAAAATATAACGTGGATAAGAAACTTCTCACTGGCAGATGGCCAGTTGGTAGGTCAATCACGTGTCTCGCAGAGTGGGTTTGGAAAACTTATTAAAGACAGTTGGGCACTTAATGTCTTTATTTGTTACTTCCGTTTCCTATCCATCTCTCAAATATCCTTTATGAACGGGTTTCCGCAAAGCGGGGTTCCACCGCAGGACTGCAAACTTTTTCGCGACATATTTTTTCTTATCAAGTTAGTTCGACGTTTGATCTAGCAGTCGAACTCAACGGGTCGACCTAAATGGTAATTTGGTTCGTCTTACGAAAAGTTCGACTTTTGGCATTGGCTTTAGTTTCTCTTAAAAACTATAGACCCTTCATGGGAGGCAAGTTTTTCAGTCTTCTCTACATCAACACATGTTTTCTTTCCTGTTTGTAGCTGGGGGTCCTGTCCTCTATCGAGTCATCATTTGCTGAGATTCAAAGCTTCTATCAAGCATTGTGTCAGAGTCGAAAGCTCATGGCGCAACTTGGGAAGGAACATGGAAAACAGATGAATTCACTGGAAACTGTTTACTCATAATTGTTTGTCCACAATTCTAAGCATAGAAATCATTGTTTAACAAGCAGACACAACACGACGGACACTTGTATTTACTCTTTTTATGCTTTTAGTAAATAAATTAGACATTTATTTTGTCTGGTTCGCTGTTTTTGTTTCGGATTACTCAAATGTAGAGTTGACCTTCCTTGGCCAGAGTCGGACATAATTTTGAGGCCTTTTTTGTCTCTTCAAGCACTTATAACTCATCCTCTTCAGTCCTCTACGTTCCTGATGGAACATAGGTCCTCCACTAATTCTTGCCGCCTGCATGGCTATATTTTGAAAAGTGACTCTTGCCTCGCACTATAAATTAAGTCCTTTGACCGACCTTGTGAATAGCCCTTCGAGCACTTATAACTTATCATCTTCAGTCCTCTTCGTTTCTGATGAACATAGGTCCTCCCTCCACTAATTCTTGCCGTCTGGCTTTATTTTGAGCAGTGACTCTTGCCTCAAACAGATTAATTCCTTTGATCGACCTTGTGTTTAGCCCTTCAGGCACTTTTAACTTATCACCTTTAGTCCTCTTCGTTCCTGATCAACATAGGTCCTCCACTAATTCTTGCCGCCTGGCTTTATTTTGAGCAGTGACTCTTGCCTCAAACTGATTAATTCCTTTGATCGACCTTGTGTTTAGCCCTTCAAGCACTTTTAAGTTATCATCTTTAGTCCTCTTCGTTCCTGATCAACATAGGTCCTCCACTAATTTTGTCATCTGACTCTATTTTGAGCAGTGACTCTTGCCTCACACCACAAAAATCCTTTCTCCTATAGACCTAAAGTTCTAACATTCTTGTGCGCCTCCAAGTTTGTCGGGGTCTCCCTCCCTTGCATCCTTGCTCCACAGGGCAGCAAGAGTGGCGCAGTGGTGAGAGCACTCGCCTCCCACCAACGCGGCCTGGGTTCAAATTCAAATGTCGACGCCATATGACGTCGACGCCAAGAACTTTAATTTTCACTGGTTTCTGTTGTTTTTCTCTCCTTTGCTCCAAGAAATTTTTTAGACGACTGGTTTCTCCGGTTTTCCCTCTCCTAAACAAACATTTTACCAAAAATTCAAATTCGAAAACAAGACAATTTAGGTAGAAAACTAAATGAACCACGAAAAGTGAAAAAGAAACCATGAGGCCACCTCTAAAACGTTATTTATTTATTTACTAAATTATTAACTAATACTAAATCTCTCTGCGAAATCAATGTTTTAAACATTAAAATCATACCAGAAATCTGACTTGAGAACACCAGAATTCTAGGTACAGGGGCGGATCTAGGGGGAGGGTGCAGGGGTACCCCCCCCGAGATGACCTGCGGTTTTCATGTGATTTATTGGTGTTGAAGTAGAGCAAGAGACGAGTGCACCCCATCCTAAAAAAAATCCTGGATCCGCCCCTGAGGTCCCTCATTGACTTCTCCTTACAGTTTCAGTAAAACATGTCGTGACTACCTTTGTTAACCGGCTTCCATGAGTGTGTTTTGGGGGGGAGGGGAAGGACGCGCTACTCCGCCTTCGTTTCCTCTCCCTTTCCCTCTCCTCCCTTTTTTTTCAGGCGTTCTCTTCACCAAATACCAAATGGCTAGTCGTCATAGACGAGGGTCATTTTAATCGTGATCTTATAGTAGCCACCCGGTTTATCAAAAAACCCACAGTCTGAAATATCTTTTAGTACGCGTAGCGGCTGGGCTAAGAGAAATATGGGCGCGGGGTAAGGATAGGAGGAAAAAATTTGCTGGGATTTTATCTTTCCTTTTATTCTCTTGTCTTCTCTTTATTTTCTTCTTTAATTTCCCCGGCGTTTGTTTTCTTTTCTCAAGTAAAAGGCATTTTACATGTCTGATTTAAGAATTCGTCAAAACGTCCGTGCACAACTGCTAAAAGGTTAGTACTAGTCCAGATGGCTATTGGAACTGCATTTACAATTGCCACCAAAGTATGTCTTTTCCATCGCTTTTGCCAAACAGCCATGACGGCTATATTCTGATAACGGGTCTCAATCGCCAGAGAGACACTGGTAAAAAACCACTCTATCACAAGCTGAACTGAAGTATGAATAGCAAATCTTTGTAGCAAAGTTAACAGAGGCTTGTCTGTTAAGTAAACATATTGATACAAGTACAAGAATCCATTCACAGACACTATAGCAGCTGATTCAAACAACATACTCATGATTGTAATATCAGCCATGAGTCTCTCACGACGAGGAGTACGAAAACTTCCCCAAGGAGCGGAACTTCTTCTTACTACCAGTTGATGACAAATGTGATCAATAAAAACCATTGTACTTCGCTCTATGACTTCTGCAGCTCCATGAATTACTCCAAGAAGAGCGATGGTCTGTAATCTGCTGAGCTCCGCTTGTAAAATTCTGAAAATAACAGCTGCCCCACAATACAAGGGTACCAACAAGACAAAAGAATATCCCGGATGCGTGATGTTGTATAACCGCTGAACGCTTATTCGCGAGATTACTTTGACGAAGACGCCAACGAGAGGAGCGAAAAGCGCGATTAATAGTTTGCCGTCTTTGTTTTGTTTGTTGTAAAGAGGGTAGATCAACGACGTAATGAGAATAGAAAGAAGGAAACTAAAACCTCCTGGTACAGTCAGTTGGAAGAACAAAATCAGCTTTTGTTTTCTTGACCATATGTGTCCACAAAAGTGCTTCGTTATAAGATATGCTTGCCAGCATACGCTGGTAATAAAAAGTGCGTTAAGTGGGATCTTCTGTAATTTAGAAAGCTTTGATTGAGAAAAACCTAGGAACTGAAACAATGTACGATAAACCGCCTCCAAACAGTAAAAAATGCAAAAAATTAGAAACAGTTTTTTCTTCACACCCATTAGCTGAAATGGGCGAAACAGAAAGAGCAGGTTTGTGAAATATTAGATGTAAAGGAAAGCGCAGAGAATCGAACCCGAAATTGTTCTCGTCCATTGCACTTGTAATGGAATTTCCTTCTTAGGGGAGAATTCACAGTTAAGCCCAGTTTTATAGCAGATGTAGGAAATCAGAATGTATATGGCACCGACGATAACAGCGGTTAACAGGGAAATCAAAGCTCCGATGTACATTGATTTACAAATTGTGTGGATGAAAGATGGTCTCAGTCGCTTCCAAGCCATACTTCTCTCTCTATCTTGCTCAAGCTCCTCTATGTCTTCGTTATTCTCTGTGGAGCAAGCATCAGTAACCCTTATGTTAATACTCCTAGATGCTAGATAGCCCGAACTTGCGGCTTCCCTGTCGTTGTATTCTTGGTAGATAAGTTCGTCAAGAGGATGACAATACCACTCCCGTCCCGTGCTTTCCAGAGGACTGTAACCAAATGATTCGGCTGTGAATTCAGGTTCATCTGGATTGTAATGTTCTGTCACACCTCGTGTAAAACCGAACAGAATGCGGCCGAACAACTCTATGCTTCCAATCATTATTTTCCACTTCAATCTAAAATACTTAAAAACTACAAAGCAACGTCTTGGTTTGTGTAAGTTTGCTATGTGCTAGTCCGGTAGAAAATGAAATATCGAAAATGACGATTTTAAAACAAATTGGGTCTTTTTCAAATAACCAGTGTCACTTGTCGTCAAGTTTGACATATTAGTCTTAGGTTCCTTGAAACATGTCAACGAGACTTTCAGTTCAAGCTAAATTAGAAACATCGGAGTTCACCTGTGACTGAACTTCAATTAAACTTCAATTAACGTCGAAGCGGAAAAGCGAGGCGCCTAGAACAGTTTCTTTATACCCCGCTTTGGTGCCTTCATATAGCAACTAATTTGAATAATAACTAAATTCAGTTGTCAGTCATGACTAAACGGCCATTCAGTTTTTAGGAACCGAACCATTTACACAAGACAACAGCAAAAAGAACGTACAACATTTTCTGCCCTCCAACGATTCAAGAACTAGCTAATAAGAGCTCTAAGAAGCACCATGAAGCAGGATCGTCTGAACAACTGCCTTTTTCTGTATTGTCACAAATAGACTGAGCACTGTTCAGATAGCAAAAAGTCTTGCTTGTGCAACAAACTAAGCAAAGGACATTTTGGGAAAGTTGCAAAGACGACGCCGAGACAAATAACCTGGAGCCATCTCTCTTTTTTGGGTGTTTGATACACCCGGGTAGACTGTCCTTTTCTTGAAACGCATAATGCATTTATCATTCAAAAAAGAAAACCTAAAAAAAAGCTGATGTTCAATGCGAGTCTATATATTATGTAGGAATGACGAGTTTCAGGCTTCTCAGTTTTTTTTCTCTTTTTTCCGGGAATATTAATATCATAATAAAGCCAAAGATAGATGGAAAAATAAACCGCATATCACATCTAACCGAAGGGTTTTAAGCTGACGGCTTAACAACAAACTCGTAGTTTCAGTCAAAACGAAGTTTAATTTCATCTACGCCGCGTCATAAAATTTGTTAAAACACTCCTGCTCGTTTATTAAACCGTTACTTCAAAAACTACAATTGGTTTTGTGGATAATTGATCAATATATACAATAACCCCCTTTTTAGTTTGCTAGCCAGCAACTATTTCGGTTTGTTATATATAATGCATTATACGCAATAGCCAAGAGGTCGGAACACTAGGCGAAATCTCCCTCCAACACGAGCGGGTCGCAGCTATAGACCACTCCTTGCATGTGTGCAGGTCGAACGACAAACTGCTGCAACAGGTCGTGGCGATCGCTTCCTGTGTGCAGCTGGAGAATCTTTGTGACCAACTTTATCTCTGGCACCAAGTTTTGACATCGCGACAAGTCGCGAAATTGCTGCGGTGAAAAATTAAAATTCCGGCGCGGAGACAAAATTCAGTTCCACAATACGCACAAGCGATTTGTCGCTGCTACGTGCCGTCGCGAATTGTCGCCTAGTTTGTTGAAACACATGGTCTTAAATTAGAAGGAAGTCTTAAGGGCTTCAGTATTCAAGATTATTTCGGTTTTCCCTTGAGCGCTTCATAGTCGAGTTAATTAACGTTGGTTGCAACCAGTGTGTAAAGTTTTCAGTTGGACCTATTCTATCTTGGAAAATAAGGAAAATGAGCACCAGCACA